AAAAAAAAAAAAAAAAAAAAAAAAAAAAGAAAAACAAACTCCTTGAGGGATTTCAGCACATGCAACTGCAGCGACGCACTGCGCAGCTACGGATGGGCGAAAAGGCTCCGTTCCCAATATCTGTATCACATTTTCCTTAACAAACTGCCGGACATCTTCAGGCAAAGAAAGCCATCTTGAATGACACATGATTAATATTAGGCTATTTCTTTTAGAAGATGACCAATATTATAAAGCGACAGCTTTGAGAAAAACTGTGCATTCTTACAATTGCTATTTCAACAAGAAAGTTGAAAATTAAAACCTGTTTAAATAATCGTTTTTTGTGGTTTCCTCCTTAGCAACCAAAGCATTCTTCAGCTGTAAACCAGCTGCTTGACGCACAAAATTACTGCAAGTTTTTGTAGCCAGTACCAATGACAGTTGTTTTATGAATTCCGGCTAAAAACAGAAGTTTCCAAAAATACAAAAATAAGTAGGCCCTCCTGTACATCACTTTTACTAGAGGAAGTACAAGAAAAAGACAGAAACAAAAAGATACTATTTCACTAGCAATAAAACCTACAAAATTTGTGTTGCAAGCCTGCTTCAAGAAATCTAATGCTAACTTCTGATCACTCGGGTCTAAAAAAAATTAAGTTGAAAAAATAATAAACTGCAGTTGAAAAGTGAACGAAGATAATTTTGATAAGTCGGCATTGTATTTAAAACTCTTTAAAACTTCACAGAAATATAAATTTAACGGATGAAATTAGAACCTACTTTGCGATGCGGTTTTCTCTAGGACCTCTAACAGCTCCGGTTGAGCCATTCTAACGTGCTGCGAAAACCAAGATACGTTACATAAAAAATTAGATTTGCAGAAAAAAAAGTGTAATACAACGTAATTATATTTTGGAAACAGTACTCACTAGTATCTCCTAAAGAAAAAAATCAAAACACAATTCCCAGTCAAAAAACTAATTTGGCTTAACAAAAACGAAGTATCTGCTTCTCAACTGCTAAAAAACTGTGGAACTAGCAATGCCACACGGTAAGATAACGCTACAGAACCTTCTGAGTGCGGTTAGCATAAAATCAAGATCGTCAAACGAGAATGAGTTGAAAC